CATATATATATCTATCTATATATATCTATATATATAGATAGATATATATATGGCAGGGAGGCTCAGAATAGAGCCATTTCTGTACTTTGGCGGACTAGATATCTTTTTTTGATGCACCTTGGAAGCTACGCTGGGGAACTATTCCAGGCATGGCCTAGAGGATAACCCAGCTCATGTTTAGGGATTAAGTCTCTCGGCTGGCCAGGGAGTTCCTCAGTCTTCTCGAAGAATAGCTGGAAGAAGTCTTTTTAAGTTACATTCCCAACACTGGATGTAGGCTTTACCTGGTTTTTATTTTGACAAACGATTAGTACATTTGTTGAATGTTTATCATAAAGGAGTCCTACATTAATAAAGTAGCAACTGAGCTGTTGAGCTGTGAAACACTAAGCAAAGGGATTGATTTGGGATTGTTGATAAAGCCAACATTTCCAGAGAAAAACCTTCCAAAAATGGCAGATCAAGACACAAAGACAACTTCTTTTAACGCTTCAGAAACTTTATTAGGCAAAAGAAGATTCGGTCTCGGATGTAGAGATGACGGGTACGAGATATTGCAGTAACTGAGTTGCTAACTCAGCTACTGTTTCAGGGAAGTAACTAAAAACTATAAACAAGTTTTTATATACTGTTTTTAAGTTAAGTGCCCAGCAGTGGATATAGGAGCATTGATGTTTTCTCATTAGTTAGTAGCTGGACCCAAAACACTGCAGCAGAGGCAGATATGAGTTTTTGTTTATTTATTGATAAAGGCAGTGGTAGTATAAATCCAAAAACAATCAGGCAATGAATACGGGAACCAGAACGGAGAACATGGGAGGTGACTGACAGAAACTGATGTGGACATGAAATAAAGAAAACAATCTAGCAAAGACAAACTGCAGAGGAGGGGTATATTTCCACTGGACAGGAGACTAACAGGACAAAGATTTCTGTAATGATCTAAGTGGGAAGAGGTGAGCAGAGAAAGAACAAGAAAAGCAATGCGAAACGAGGTGACACTAGGGGACAGTGACGAGTAATTGGAAATTATAATCTAAAGATAACTTTAAAACAGTAACTGACAAAATAAAACTAGAACAAATATTAAGGACTGCTGAATAAGGGATAACTGTAACGCCACCAAACAGGTTAACATGTAATGAAAGGCAAATAGTAGTAAGTGAACACCAATGACCAACAAATGCTCACTTCCATGTAAGAAAAAGTGTAAATGAGGCTTTGAAAAGAATGAAACTCCTTTAGATATGTAGTAGAGAGTGTTGGGAAAATTATGACATATTTAGTTAAACGTTCATTTAAAGCCCAGATGTTCTTCAGGTATAAATCTGAGTGTCCAAAA